AAGATTTTTGTTTCACATTTTCATATATTTACAATCACAGGATGGTGTAGCTAATCCAAATCCAAGAAAAAAATGCACTATTACTCAATCACAGCCTTTTAATCCGGTGTTTATGCCTTAATCATAGTCATCCACTGTGGCTCCAAGTACTGCACCTCAACCATCGACTGCAGCATCCACCTCTTCTATTGCACCTGCTGGCCATGGACGACATCGTGGTCGTCCTCCTGGAAAATGACAAGCCCTTAGGAAGGTGACAGTTCCAAGAGGTCATGGTGTTTTCATGTGCCCTACACCAATCGGGTCTTTGAATGCTTTGGTCCAAGTTCAAGAGAGATAGGTCTTCAAAAGGACCAAAGTCACACAAGTAGTGGATTTTGTTTTGCTTGGTTTGGTGTTTGGGTGTCTAAACTATGTTCAATGAATTAGTGGCTTTTGTGTTTGTTTGGGTTGGTGCTTTGGTGTCTAATTCTAGTCATATTTGTTTTCTTTGGTTTGTTGTGTTGGTGTCTAAACTATTGTCGCATTCTGTAAACTGAGATTATAGTACCTTTATCATCGTCATATTTTTTCGCTACTCAATTATTATTGATGATGCTTTGTTTGTTAACTGTTTTGAACATTTAGAATGCACATTTACTGTGACAAAACAGAACATACATCAACTTCATAGGTCATTACATCTTACTTCATAGGTCATCATTACATCTTACTTCAAAGTGTTAGCAATTAATTATGGCAATCACACACACAAATCCCACCCACAAAATGACCACAAATTGTCGGCAAAGCTTCTCCTTCTCAACGCTCGATGCAAGTTCTTCCTTCAGTTTCTTGTTCTCATTACGCAACTGAACCACCATCTCTGGATTCTGGGCTCTTGACTCGATTTTCTCTCCGACAGAAGCCATTTCCTTACCTGTCTCTCCGACCAAAGCTCTCAGCTTCTTCAACCCATCTGATTGCTCCTGAATTAGGTCTCAAGCTTCCAACAATGCCTTTTTCTGCCAGCCATGAGTCTTTTCAACATCGAACCATCTAAAGAAGTTTCAAGACTTCCAATTTGCATCTCCACAGCCATAGAATCTTCTCCCCAGATTTTTATCCGTCCAAGCCTTCTTGACCATCGAATCCTTCCCACAGTGACACTTCAATTCACCCATTAATCCTCCACTAATTTCGTTTGATCTTATTCTGAAGCTTTGGCTCTGGTTCTGCATTGCATATCGAGGGAAATTGGGAGTGAAAGATAGAGAAAGAGGGAAAATTGAGTAGTTACTGAATTTAGGGTTTACACATTTGGGGATTTATAAAACTAATCTCGTTTTAACCATGGTTAGATAGTTAACAGAAAATTAGAGTAATTAAACACCATCGTAAGTTCTGTTAACCTCTGTTATCGAGACGCTTTAAAATGATCAGATAGATAACATTTGGGGATTTAAAGTGGGCAAAAAAATACTTCATTTTTTTTTTGGTCAGCCAAATAGTTAGAAGATTTAAAAAGCTATCAAGTTGAAGATTTAATATGGAATCGTCCCTAGATAAGAAAAAAAAATGATATTTTACAGTATCCACTCATGTCTTTTCGAAGATGAACGCTCAACCACTAAACGTGTTTTTTGTAACAACCCGACCGTGTGAAAGACTTAGACAAAATCAGAATGGGATAAAATTTGGGGCCAAAAATTTGTTATTTTTTTTAATGCGCGGGCCTAAATTTTGGGCTTCGCGGTTTACAATGCCATAACGTTTTCAACCTATTATGTTATTAAAGGCTATGCTATAAAACCAAAATCCCAAAAAAATAAAGCGCGTTTTAAAATTTGTAATCCCGCTAAACTATCGATAGCGTTTACAAAAGTACTCACGCTATGTAAAAGTCATGGTTATATTATTCATAGCAGATATAAATAAACCGCTATAGTATTATGCTATTGAAAGTGCATATTCTTGTAGTGAATTGGTATTAACGAATGTGCATCTTAAGAATGGAAAGACCATTTAAATAAAATAATGAATTGATTGTTTGGGTGATAATGTGTGGATAGGAGAACTTTTTAGGTCCCTGGCTCCTGGATTTGGGGGTCAGTGTTGTTTGCTGGCTGGGCTGATGTCTGTGTGACCATACAACAGCCATCATTGGCAGATCGATCCACCAAGTGTTTAAATAGCATGTCTGTGTGACCGCTGCTAACAGCCTGTCTGAGTGACCGCTGGTACAGTCTGTGTGACTGGGTGAAATAGACCTGACTAATGGGCCAATGGTAGACTAGCCATTAGTTGGGATTATTCTGCTGTTGCCTTTCCGAGGAGGCATGGGGGTCCGAAGGACTGCACACTATAACTAGTTTTGACAAGGCCCCGCTGTTTAGTAGTTGTATGCTAGGGTTATCCTTGTTTGTCGTGTGATTGATTACTAGAAACAAACTCGAAATGTCTTTATAAATAGTTTATGCTGCATGGGCTTGTTTGATGGTTTTGTGAGCCTCCTTAAGGCCCATCCTCGCTGAGTAATCCCCATTACTCATCCCTCCTTCCTTGTCTTTGTTTTTATGTATATCAGATCAGCTATATCTATGTTGTTAATTGTTACTTGGATGTTTTCCTGGCGATCCTGTGCGCTCACCAATCGGACCAAACTAGGTGTCACAATGAATGAGGTTTGACTACTGACCTAACATACCTGATTCGCTATCTTTCTAGGAAGTCGGGGTAGGGATATTATACTTTTTATCCAATCAAAATTCTGCAAGTTTTGTTGGAAGTTCTCGATTAAGTCTTTGTAATTGTATATTCCAATTTTATTAGCTTTGTTCTATTATCTTTATATTCAACTAGATGATTATCCGTGCAAATGCACAGAGTTTTTTTATGTTTTTTAAATATTTTTAAGATTTTTTGTAACTTTAAATAAACTCAATTCAGAATTTTCTTTTTGAGGTAATCATATACATGTAAAAAAAATAGTTGTTATTTAGTTCTTTTAAAAGTAAATTTTTTATTAGTTTATTTTTAGCTATTATTTTGTCTTCAAAGAAGCTAATCAAACACATATTATACTAAACAAAATCTAGAGTTGATAATCCAACAAATACTAAGTATAAAATATATTTATCGTTATAAACTCAAGAGGCATATCCTATAAATAAATAGATAAATTTATTCGGATTTTCCTATTTTACTTGGTAAAGTCTTTCACAAACTCTTCTGAAATCAAAAATGAATATAATGGAGTTCTAACTATGATATCCCAAATTGTATTAAACCCATGACCACTTTTCTTCACCAAGTTTTTAGTATGAAATCACTATAGATCTCACGTTGGAGATAGTCTTCTATGCTAAATCTTTCACTTGAATTTAATCGCTAACTTTAATATTCCTTAACTAAAGTGAATTTAAAAACTATCAGCCCAAATTTTCTCATAGTGACGTCTTATGGTTCCATAGTTCCATATGCTAAATCTTAAGAACACTTGCATGCTTGAAAAGATTATCGAGGCTTTGGTCACACAATTTCATCTTTTTAACATCTGTTTTACTTTTTGGGATGCTTTATGTAGAAGTAGAAAACTTTGGTACAGAAAATTAGCATATAAGCCCAAATCTACAACTTTAGGCAAAGAAACATATAAAAATTGAAAACAAATTAAAAACCAAATCCTACAATTATGAAATTCGTCTAAAAAGACTATAGAATACGAAAAAGTAATTTAAAAATCCAAACTCTACAGTTATGGAATTTTTTATTTTATTTAAATTTGTTTCCAAAATAGTTACTTACTTCCATTATTTTAGTTGTATTATTTCGAATTTTTAAAGTTAATAAGATTTATCATTCCCTTCATTTGGTTACAAATTTTGGTTTTTACGTCTAAAGTTGCGAAGTTTTATGCATAAGAGAAACGTATTGGTAAATTTTACAATTACTTCCCAATAATTTGTTGCATGAGAGAAATACGACTTTTTACAAAACAAAAATTCCATAGTCATCATTAGTCATCATTAGTCATTACAACTAAAAATATTTTTGTTCTCTAAATATATCATATTCATTTTCTTGACTCCTTTTAAAGGGATATTATTTGGACTTTTGAGCATACAAATAAGTTTGATTACAACAAAACAAGGATTTGTCAAGATTTAAAATCTGAAGGCAACATACAAACTAAAAAGATTTGTAATCCAAATGCAGGTTATAAACAAAGAGATGATCATTCACCTTTAGTTCCATAACTTTATGTTGTTGACTTTCTGATATTCATTAAGTTTTTCAGATATTATGCAGTTGATCATTTTTTGTTTTCTCAAATTACATTTAATTTTTTGTTGGACTATCTTCATCAATAATCAATAGAATAAGAAGAATAATGGTTTATTCTCTCTCACTAAAATCAAAGCAAAAGAATTTTAACCCAAAAAGAAATAAAAGAAAATAAGAAGTTTATTGTTCCTAAGAGTTTTTTGTATTGTATTTAATGATTTAGGACTTTGGTGTTTTTAAAAAAAATTAAAAATCAATAAAATAAATTATAAATTATTTTGTAAATTTGATGTGTCAAAATAATAGATGCTGATGTGTCAAGATTGTGAGACACAACTCAACTTTTATATAATAGACTAGGGTTGGCCCCGGGCTACGCCCAGGCTTTTTCATTGATATGTTTTTAAACTTGTTTTATATTACAATTGAGTATATACAGCACATATACAAAATGATATTTTATAACAACATAGCATGTTTATGTGCAAAACTGAAGATTTTATCTGGAAAACCTTGCTTGATATACTGTTAAGATTGATGTTGATTGTTATTTGTACGACTTTGATCCAGTTTCATAGTAGTTAGTAGATGAGGTAGAAAGATAAAGATCTTTTCCTTTTTTTTTTTTTAACTTGGCATAACGATCTTCAGGATTATAAACATGAAGATATGATTTACCAAAAAAAAAAAATAGACAGTTACGAAAAAAATAAAGCCTTTCTACTTCTCTTGGAGACTCAGGCTATATGATGAAGCATGTGTATTCTTGGTATTGTAACAACTCTAAAATTCATGTACTTTAATAAATAACGCGTCTCCGATTTTCACTTGGCAAGCCAGCAGCAATAATTTCACACCTTGGCGAATCATAACACCTATAATCTATTTTGAATGACATCATCCATAATCCTGCAGTATAGAAACTCATTTGAATATGGAGAACATAAAAAACAGAAATAATGTAGTATCGGTTTAGCCATTCAAAATATGACAATGTAAAAACAGCCCACAAATAACTAACATAATATTAAAAACTCGAACCTGAAACTTAAAATGTCGATTCTGCAAGATTTTTTCTTTCCTTTACCTTGAAAAATTACAGTCTTTCTCTTGTGTCAATAAATATAACTCATCCTCTCTTTTTTTGCAATCACAATGAGTGTCTGTTTGCGTCTCTTTTGCTGCTGAAGAGTTAGGGTAATCCAAATATGGCGTACCATACACATGATAGTAAGCACCAAAAAAAAAAGAGATAGTAAGCACCAAAAAAAAAGAGATAGTAAGCACCAAGAACCAAAATAAATGCAGCAATATAAAACCAAAAACCATAATAAATCGAAATCAGTGACCTGTGACATACCTGTTGTGCCTGTACATGTGAATCGGAGAGAGCTGTTTTGTAAGGGCTGACTCATAATGGTAATAGATGAGTCCACAGTGTCGTTTTCTCTTGGAAGAATTGCCTCGTGGAACAACTGTACTCCTTTGGCGATGTAATGTGGAGGCTCCAGTCTGTCTTATTATCAGCCTAAAAAGCTTAGCATTCGCTGCTCTTGGTCAGAAACTGAAAGGAAAACTGGGAACTTTAGATGAAAGAAGAGAAGCTTTATCTGCGAATTAATCGAGCAAAACATCAGCCAAAGATATGAATGTTGATTACTCAATGTTCCCAATTAGTCCTGCTAAAGAAGCCATGTCAAGAGAAGCAAACATGATTTTAGAAGTCACCTGAAAACAATTTTGAAAGTGAATCAAACCTGATGCTTGATGCCTCAATAAAAGATTGTGACCGTATCCAACTGATAACTTTAAGGGTTGAGATTGTGTTTGTTAGCAAATTAACGGCTATAAATAAGGAGATAAGTTCGCTCTACACAATATCGCTTCAATGTAGGCACTAAAATGACGTCTAAACAAAAATAAGACATTCTAAACTACTGATTTTAGCCAGCAAATGATAGAATATACCTGCAGTTTTAAGGAAGTAGTAACAACATTTTTTCAGTCCCAAGCTATGTACCGCAAACTTTTTTGTCCCACATGATTGGTACAAAGGAATTCTGCATATCATCAAAAACATTTACTGCTTTAATGTTTGATTGATCAGCCGATAGATTCGACAAACGATCTAAGGCGGAAAAAAGAAGCTTACAGTGACAGATTGTGATCCAATAATAATTGCCCCAGAAATGGTGAAGTTTAATCCATGAAAAGAGCGGTTTTGTGATCATGTATCGGAGGAGTCGATTCGTGCTGACCAACCAATCGACCTGATTGCAATTAGATCAATCTTATTGCTTAACCTTTTAAATCTCATTGAAGAACATGTATAGCTGGAGTTGTGGGAGAGAATTTGACCCTAAAGACCCCATAGAAGCGCTAAGGCTAAGATATGGGTTTGATGTGAAATTTGTGAGATGTATCGTGGGGGCCATCGGGGTCAATATAAATATGATATGCTCATTCAAATTCCACATAATGGGAATTTACAGTAGGAGAACGTGGATACAGTTTAACTTTGAAACAGGTTCGAAACGCTGTGGATTGAGTTTGGAGTTTCTGTTTGCGTTACATTAGGAATGGAGTGAAGCGAATCGATTCAGTTTTGTGGGATTTTTTCTGAGAAGTGTTGTTACGAAAAGCGTGATAAAGAGGTTTGGAGGAAGTAATAATTTTTATTGGGCTGTTGGCTAAATTTTTTTGGGCCTTTGTCTAATGGACTCCTCTCTATTCGTCTTTCTGCGTTTGTATGTTGGGTGATCCAATTGAACAAAACAATAACTCTGCTTTTTGGTGATGTGTAACTTTCAAATGTTCTAATTGGACAATTATTTTCTTCAATATTTTTGCTGATGTGGGATAGCTGAGAAGCCAAGAAATCAATCCCTTTATACTGTATATACTTATATATTTTGCATGATCAACATTAATTGTCTAGACCTATGATTGATCTTGGGATTTCTTAGATTGTCTTTATCGTTATGTTAATTTTCTTATATATATATATATATATATATATATATATCAAATTGGGCTATGCGAATCTCATAATAACAGCCTTTGAGTAAGCATGTCAACAAAACCCATTACCAACTCTAACCCGACGAAAAATTCTCGGCATCAAAGAGGCTTAATTATCCAATTAAGTAACCTTTTTCAAAAAAAAAAAAAAAAAAAAAACTTGCTTATCCAACTAAACTTCTTGACCACAAGACACTAAATTGTGTATCTCTAAGATTAAACATGTGGCATGTAAACGGGTGATCAACACAATACCTACGTACGTTTATATCATTTTACCGGCACAAGCACGTGCCATACACATAGCTCGCAACGGAGTAGCTTTAGGCATAGTGAGCCCTTTGTCTTCAGTCATATCCACAAGTTCCTCACCAACTCTTTCCCACTCGAAACACTGAATCAAACACCCAAGAGCCAGGCTCACCAACCTCTTCCCAAGCTCTGCTCCTGGACATGCCCTTCTCCCCATCCCAAACGGTAATATTAGCTTTTGCGACTCTCCTTCTTTCTCGAATCTCTCCGGTTTGAAAACCTCTGGCTCTTCCCACAAACTTGGATCTCTATGCATAGCCCATACGTTTGTCAATAACATCGTGCCATGTGGCATATCGTATCCCGCCACTTTACAATCTTCCGACGACAAGTGAGGGAGTAGCAGCGGAACCGGGGGATACAAACGCAGGGTTTCAGACACGATGTTTTGGAGATAATGGAGATTTACAATGTCTGATTCCTTAACTAGCCGGTCTAAACCGATTTTATCATCGATTTCTGCTCTTGCTTTCTTAAGTATCTCTGGATGGTTCAACAAATTCGACATTGCCCACTCTAGCGTCACTGCTGACGTGTCTGTCCCCGCAATTACTAGAGACTGTATATACATGCATCTTAAATCCATTAGTACGTAAACTCCCAATATATATTAGATATATATGAAGTAGTAATAGTACTTACGATTATGATTCCTTTGATGATGACGTCAGTATAATACTCAGGTTGGATTTCTTGGAGAGAAAGCAAGTGATGGATCAAAGTTTGACCTTTTGTTTTCTCTGCACGTTTCTCATCAACCAGTCTTTGCAAGAATCCATCGAATCGATTCCCCAAAATTTTGGCCCGTTTTTCAAAATCTGTGACCCAACGTACGATCGGAAGATAGTCAGCTAGATTTCCAGCACCGGAGCCAGCCACCGCCTCCGATATAAGTGCCCTCACGATTTTGGCCTCATCATTGTCTTCTGTGCCGCCACCGTAATATCGTTTCCCGGCTACCATCATGATGATGTTGTTGAGAGCCAAGCTGGCTAATAATGATTTCATCTCCACTTCAACAAATCCCTGTGAGACGATTATTTTTATTAATATATATTTGTGTGAATTAAACATGTTAAGTTTACTTTATCTAAAACTTCAAAGTTTTTTTTTTGAGAAAAAAAAGTTACTATAAATCTATTTTCAAATTTGAGAGGGTTACATATTGTTTCGTATTTTCTTTGTTTTTTCCAAGTTTTAATTCAGTTATATGAATTAATAGTTTTCCCTCCTTTCAGAAAATAGAAAAGATAGTTATATAATTAGTAATTACAGATTTACAGTTGAGAATAACAAAAAAATATAATTTTTCTTTCGGGCAGCCTATATAAGTTTAAGTTAGAGTTTCGTTTCATGGACATGCAATTTTTTTAGCATATATATAATAAAGTGACGAGTAACAAAAAAATAAATATTAAATATGCATGGGCCGGAGGCTAGAAAATACCAAAATCACATGGACAATATTAGGTAACTAATTAAATATGAACGATACGGAAGGCTGGAAAATATCTACTCGGCTACGTGCAGACCCACATGGAGATGAAGTAAATAATTGACGAATACAACGCCACACAACGTAAAGAAAGACTTTGCTCTACTTATATCTACCACACGAAAATAAAAATTAATAAATAAATAAATGACTTACGTTTACGGAGTTTCTCGAGAGGTGTGTTATGAGCTGTCGGATCTCGTCTTTACGGACGGACATAAACGTACTGATCCTCTGAGAAGAGAATATCTCGACGGCGGCGATGCGGCGGAGATTCCTCCAGTGATCGCCGTAAGATGCTGCAATCATGATGGTGGAGTCGTAGGCGATGTGTTTGCCCATGATGAGCTCGGGTCTGTTCGCAAGAACGACATCGTTTCTGGTGAAGCATTCTTCGGTTATGGAATGCGAGGAGATGACGTAAACGAGGCGGTTTCCGAGGTGGAGGTGGAAGATCGGAGTATTCCCAAGGGATTTTGAAATGGAGAGGAATGTTCGGTGGATAGGGTTCTTGAGGAGGTGGAGGTGGCCGATAACCGGTAGAGAGTAAGCCGGAGAAGGAGGAAGATTCAGCTTCCGGATTGAGTTTGTGAAGAATAATTTGATGGAGAAGAAGATAAATATAAAGGAGATAAGAAGTAAAATTTGAGTGAAGTCCATTTTTTTTTTGGTGTACTGGTTGCTTGGTTGTTTTGGGGTTTTCTTTCTTTTTGTATTTTATTGCGTAGCTATGTGTGGGAGATTGGACCGGGTGGGACCGTGGGTACTCTGTCGTTTTAAAGAAAACGAAGGCTGAATGTTTGAATGATTTTTAGTTTAGAGTTTTTGTTAAAAATAACATAAAACTTGATGTTGAATACAAAAGTAAACCATTGATATAATGTTTAGCAAAAATAACCTAAGAGTATGTGTAATGGGAGAGACTTTCATGAGTCTTTTAATCTTTTTTTTATTATTAAAATAGGTTTAGAGATCAATTTAACAAACTCTCTTTTTAAGTAGTTCCAATGGTGAGACCGAGAATACGAAGAGGAAGGGGAGAAAAGTACAAAAGCATAAAAAAGTTTTCTTTTCCAATTTTTTTTTGCCCATTCACACATCGCCCCATGTAACTAAGAAACGTCTCTTGCACCTCCTAATTAGGAGACGTCTCTCACCAATTTCTTCATTTTTGATTTAATTAAAATTATTAAAAATTACAGAAATCCTCTAAAGAGACGCCGTTGCACATGCTCTAAAGGGGTAGTAAAAAAACAATATATTCATGTATGACCAAATAAAAAAACGGATGTCCTAATTACGGTTTAAACCCTGACAAAGTCTATTTTAAAGTAATAGAAGTCAACTAGTAGACTTCTAACACAACTTATGAAGTTTACTATGTAATTAAATTATATAATTTAATTTAAAAAATAATAAAAAATAATAATAGTTTCAAATTTGCAATCATAAATTAGATATTAGTAATCCTAATGTATATAAATTATTTTTTTCATATTCATAAGTTTAAATTTATGGTTTCAAATTAAGAAGAACAAAATATTTGACTTAGGGTTTACACTAAGTAAACTTCAATATGGAAGTCTGCTAAACCGAATAAATTAATTTTATCGGGAATTAAACCGAGAATAATTTTCCTTAACCAAAAATTAAACCAAAATTAAACCAAAAATATTATTCATATATATAAGATGTAACCCTAATTTTAAGTGAAAAAAAAAACTCTCGCCTCACTCCTAAACGGCGTTGAACTCTCTGAAGTTCTGATTTTCTTTTTAGATCTGCTCTCTGGTCGTGTTTTTCTTTGTAGATCTGGTCACACTCCGACGAGTTAGAATTCTCCACCACTCCATGCTGCCGTAAAAGAATAAGAAACCCTAGAAGATCCGCAATTAGCTGTTTTCGAGAAGCAAGGATGGCTTTCTGCTGGGATCTATGTCGGTTTCCATGGACCAGATCTGCTTGTGAACGAGCCCAACGAGAGTCTTCTCCTCTGCTGTTTCAGGAGAGAAACCCGGCGACAATGATTCTTTCTCCTTCTGTTTTTCTCTTTTTGCATTCTGCTCTGGTCTAAAAAGTCTTCTTCTTTCGTTGCTTGCATGTTTAGAATCTGAAGCTTAATTATTAGTATCTTTGTAGTTACCGATTCTCTCTTCTAAAAAGTATTCTTCTTTTTTCTCTATTCTCTGATGCATATTCTTTGCTCTTTGTATTTTGGTTTTTCTTTTGCTGGGATTTGACGATTCTGGGTTTATTCACTATTTTCTTTTGTTGTGTGGGTTTTCTTTTTGCAGATGGAAAGAAGTTTTTCTAGAAAAAGACTGGATATCTTTGGTTGCAGTTATCAGATGCTTGGTTTAGTTTTGTGTGATCTTGCTTCAGATGTTTGGTTTTGTTTCCTGTGATGTGATGTGCTAAAATGATTCTCTTGTCGTTGGGTTTTGGAATAATGCTACCTACTTTAAATAATTGAATTAGTGCGGTGTTACTTTACATAATTGCTAAAAAACGGAAGAAAAAAATGTTGTTTAGATAAGTAGGGGTTAGTATAGTGGCAATCATGATTAATTCTCAAATAAATCATTGTCGGTGGGTTTTATTGATGACATAATTATCTTCATTGATGAAGTGAACATGTTGATCGATGCAGGATGAAGCTGAAGCCAAACCCATCTGAAACCGAACCAGAGCAAGAAACTAAACAAGAACGAAGCCAAACCGAACCAGAGCAAAAAAAAAGAGGAAACCTTTGTACCGAAGGAAGCTTCAAGCCTGGACCTGATGTTAGTCATGACCAGTGTATGAAGAAAATATAGTTTTGAATCATTTGTAATGGTCAAAAGTGTAATGGTCATCCTAGTTTTGTGGTCATCAGTTGTAATGGTCATGAACTTGATTTGTATATAGTTTAAATGTAATGGTGATACTATTTTATACAGAATGTTTCATTTTTCTTGTTATAGTCATTAAGCAGAATCTTTGAATCAAAACAAAATGATTGTCAGTCACAATTCAAACCGAGACAAAACAATTAGTAACAATTCAAACACAAGTGAAAAGGTCAGACACATTCAAAACATAACTCAGGTCAGAGACAGAAAGATAAACACAAGAGTGAGCTTGAGAATAGGATAAAAACAAGACTGAAGAAGAATGTAAAAACACTGCACAAAATACAAGTTTTCGTCCATCCTATTCTCAATTGAAATATTCTCTATTAGAAAACACAAAAAAATCATATTAGCAAATGTAATTACAAACCATATTATGACAACCACATAAGTAACAAATGCGAAGACTTCTCGTGCAGACTTCATCCGTAGACTGCTGGAGAAGTCTACTTTTACAATCTAATTAGCTTTAGTAGACTTCTTTAGTAGACTGCACTATGAAAAAGTAGACTTCTCCTCCAGTCTACGTTTGAAGTCTGCTGTACAAGTCTACTTATTGCAGTTTTTTTTAAAACACATTTTAGGCAAATTTATAAAGTATTTTTTTATTTTTTGGATTAGAAATGCTTTTTAGTAAGTGATTGAACTACCCAGTGAATTTTATTTCATTTCATTTGATATTTATTGTTGAATCAGAAGTTTTGATTTTTAAGCTACTTAGCTTATCAAAGTAGACTTCAGTAGACTTCTCCTGAAGTCTACTAAGGAAGTCTAAGTAGGAAGTCTACTTTTTGTATTTATTTTAAAAATGCATATCTTAAATATTTATAACGCTTTTTTTATAATTTTTAGGTTTTGACATGCATGTTAGCAATTGATTGAATTACTCAATGGCTTTCATTTGATTTAAATCGATATTTATTGTGGAATCGAATTTTTTTATTTATAAATACAGGTTATTTTTGCAATTGACCAATCTGTTGATTTTTCCTTCAGTAGACTTCAGAAGTAGACTTCCGGCCAAAAATGTTACTTTAGCATTTGACCGATGCATTGACTAACAAAGTAGACTTCTATTGTAGACTTCATGTAAGAGTAGACTTCTCTGACAGTCTACTTTTGAAGTCTACTTTTTGATATAAGATCGGGGTGGTGGGAGTGGATCCGAGTGATTGGCCGAGAGGCTCTCTTCACTTAGACGAAAATATGATTAAGTACGGAGGGATGGAACCTAAGTAACTGGCCGAGAGGCTCTCTTTACTTAGATTAGCGAATGAACGAAGAACAAAGGACCAAGGGATCGATGTGACGCCACACAGCTGATGGAGAGGCTGTGATAAGTCGGTGAACTCAAGAACACAAGGGGAAACCACGCAAATGTTCAAGAACTCGGAGAGAGAGGCGGCTGCTCTAAGAAAATACGCTCTTTATTGATTTAGGGTAAAAAGTTGTGTCTTACAATGCCGCATGTGAGACTTTATAAACAGTCCTTCGGCCTTGACCTTCTAGGGTCGACAGAGACTCAAGAAAAGGAAAGAAAACTTGCGACAGACTCTTGGGAAAGTAAATAAAGCGAAATGGAAACATTACTAAAGTTCTCGACTAAATTAAAGGAAATATAACTAATAAGGACCTTAAGACAAATTCTGCAAAATAAAGAGAGGGAAACTCGTTAGTTTAAAATTATAATTAAACCAAACACTCACCTTGGTGTCGTTTTGACACTTAGTCGTTTGTAGCTTCAATGGAGAAGATCATGCGAGCCCCTTGAGTCTTTATTAGTGGCCATTCCTCAGTTGGTGTAGACTTGATGCTTGTATCTCCATGATCTTGATCCTCAAGCTTTAGTTCTTCCTCGCTCTGGTCCTTGTCTTGTATGAATAGCATCTTGTCCTTCGTTAAACTCATTGCTACTTGGTTGAGAAGCGGTTGTTCGAGGCCGAGTTGAGCAATGCCTTTGGTGATGTCTTCTAAGCTGCTTTGGTTGATCAGGGTGTCCATGGCATTGTTGAACTCTTCTCTAAGCTTTCTAAGTCCTGATCTTGTCCTTGGAGGGTTCTTCATGGTGGGAAAAGTGTCTTTAGGGGCCATGTCCTCATCATTTTTCAACAGAAGTCTATGGGAAAAAATAGGTTATTTTTGCAATTGAATTTTTTGAGTAGACTTCACTGCGAAGTCTACTCAAAAATAGATTCCTTCTAAGTTTGACCAAAAAATATAAGTAGACTTCCCAAAGAAGTCTACAGGTTTTAGACTTCTTTGGGAAGTCTACTGAAGTTTTTCGAAAATTTTTGAATTTTTTATTTTTTAAAAAACTGTAGTCAAACACTAAAACGACCTATACGTTTTTGGTCAAACTACAAAAGTAACTTAAACGTAGACTTCTTATGCAGACGTAAACAATAGACTTCATAAGAAAGTCTATATTAAAAAGTCAAATTATGGTCAACTACAAAAATAACCTCTTTTCTTTCGTAGACTTCTTATGCCTTCAAACGAAGTTTACTAGGCTTTTTTTTGTTTTCAAAGGATATCGAGTAGACTTCTCGTGCAGTTTAATGAAGTCTACTTTTAAGAAGTCAATTGCAAAAATAACCTTATGTTGACTAGTTGACTTCAAAATGAAGTCTACTTTTGCGATACAGATATAGATATTACCAGAATTGAAGTGTTTCATTACCTATATCGGTTTTGAGTTTGTTTTTAGGTCTCTCATGCACCCACAACTCTGAATTTGACCCAAAAAAAAAAATAACCCAGATCTTGATTAAGTTGAAATCCCCAAAAATGCATAACCTGTGACATTGTAACTCAGCCCAGAAATTTTAGAGAAGAAATTATGAAAGAATATAGAAGGTTATGAATGTATGAGCTCTCATATTAACTTATTACAGCTTTAAAATTGGTTG